GTCCAAGGCAAGGTGTGCAATCTCATCATCGATGGAGGAAGCTGCACCAATGTAGCAAGCGAATACATGGTTAATAAGCTTGGCTTGACTGTGAAGAAGCACCCCAAGCCGTACAATCTGCATTGGCTCAATGATAAAGGTGCAATGCGAGTGAACAACCAAGTAACGGTTTCTCTAACCCTTGGAAAGTATGAGGACAAAGTTTTGTGTGATGTTCTACCTATGGAAGCAAGTCACATCCTGTTGGGAAGGCCATGGCAGTATGATAGACGAGTGACTCATGATGGCTCAACCAACAAGTATTCTTTTGAGTTCAAAGGCAGGAAGCACACTCTTGTTCCAATGACACCCTTCGAGATTTATCAAGATGAAAAGCGGAAAGGGAAAAAGGCTGAGGACAACATCCACAAGCGAAACAACTTCCTTGCTAAATCTGGTAATGTCCAAAGAACTCTAATCTCTCCATCACTTGGTCATAAGCCTGTTTACAAAGAAATTCTTTTGAGTTATGATGCACCGGAGCTGCCGAGTGGAAGATCTCTTGTTATACAGGACTATGAGGACCATCTTCTCAAACCCGATGAGCCTTTGGAAGAGAGTGGGTGGAACAGGATTCAGTTTGGGCAAATCGATTGCATCTTTCCTTTGAGAAACCCATCCGAAGGTCTTATCTTCACTAAAAAGAGTCTTGCACTCAAGGAGCTTCGACATAAACAAGACACTACTGCAAAAGTTGGTCCTGATTTGAGGACAAATCATTTTCAACTGGGGGAGGATGATATGATCATGGCCAGCATTAAAGAAATGGGTCTTGCACCAGAGCCTGAACCAGAGCTTGTACCAGTGGATGAGCTAGAGAATGAGGCATTGTTTGATCCAGATGGTACTAAGACCCGAGTTAATGCCGAGAAGCTCAAGGGAACAAATGGAGGAATACTTGTTCAAAACTATATTCGGCCAAGACACTTGGACCAGGAGGAAGAAGAGGTGTTTACAACTACTCTGGTTGTAAAAGAATCCCAAGAAGATCAACAAATGGCTAAGTGTCTCAGTTGTATTCTTTTTCCCTTACCTTTGGTTTTGTCCCAATGGGTTTTCCAAAGGAAGGTTTTGAGGAGGCAATGGTGATCACTTCTCTTCAAGCCCAGTTTGTTGATTCAAGACTTATGCCCAGCCAGAAGAACAATCAAATTTCGTCCAAAGGAAGCCTAAAGGTCATGGCAAGTGGAGATGAAGAGTTATTCAACCTTAGTCATTATTTCTAGTCTTTGCACTTTAATGCTTTGAGAATTTTGTGCCTTGCTTTGTTTTTGGCACTTTTATTTCTTTATAAACTCATGTAAGATCCCAGAAATAATCATCCTGGATTGGATCATCAAAATTAATCAATACAACTCTTTTCTCTTATCAAAACTTGAAGAAATTTCTCTTTGTCTTTTGAGAGTGATTCGTTGTCTTGTGCAACATCTTTATCATTTCTCATCTATCTTTGAGAGTGACTCGTTGCTTTGTGCAACATCTTTATCATCTTTTATCTTTCTTTTGTGATCGATTCGTTGCTTAGCAACATATTTATCGATTTATATCTCAGAACAGAAGTCTATTCCGCACCTTATGTTTCTATTTTATCTCTCTTTCAAGCCTCTTTGTGCCGATCTTTGGGAAGATCTCATCAGTTGGTAAACACCTTTTAAACATTGCCAAACAAAAGGTATTCACTAAGACTTTCACAGAAACTCAAAACCCTAAAGGCAAGGTTTTGGCTTCCACATCACCAACCTTTGTTGTGAGATGTCTTAAGTGTTTAGAGGAAGGGCACTATGCCGACAAATGCACCAGCAAGAAAACATGTGTTCTTCTAGCCAATGGGAATATAGATTTCAGGGAAGAAATTGTTGTTTCTGATTCAGTTCCATCTTTGGAGAAAGATGTGGAGTTACCGGTTAAGGGCGATCTATTGGTGACAAGTTCACTAAGTGAGCAAACTAAAGCCGAGGAGCAGAAACAAAAGGAGATCTACAAAGATCAGCTGAAACATGAATCAAAGAATGAGGAAGCCACGAAGCACAGTATAAGGGGAACATTTGATTCAGCTGATGCACTCTCAGAGAGGCCAAGAAAAACAGAGCAGGGTTTCAATTTTGAAGGAACAAAAGGCAAGTTAGGAGACTTCCCACAAAGCGGTGCAAATCTAACTCAGAGTCAACAACAGGGAGTCATCTATTCTATGCTAATCAAGGAGAGTCCACCAGTCTCATGTCAAAAATTCCCAACCCAAGGTTATGCAGTTTCGAGGACGAAACCTTTTCAAGAGGGAGGGGATGATATGATATTGAGGACGCCCAAGAAGACGTATCTGCATTGTTCAAAACAAATGGGGTCCGATCTCAACTGGAACAGCCAAAAGGCCACTTTTAATATGTTTTCACCTCATCTAGAGCACTCCTCGAAGTGGAATCGGTTCAATTCGGGTTTTGATGAAAGAGTTATTCAGTTTTCAAACCAGACAAAGTCAAGCTTACTCGATTTGGACCTGCGCGTGCTCAATGGAGGATTCCGACCAAGCCAGAAGGAATCAAATTATGAACGTACCTTTCCTGGAATCTTTGTTCATCACAGAAGCATAGAGAATTGGAATCACTTTAAAAGGAGTTCAGACTTGGAAGATATGAATTTTACAATTCAGCAGATCTGCTTCAGGCCCGGTTACGCGTCTGAGCCAAAGATCGAGCTCCCGAGCCTACCTCAGAAACAATTTCTACATGAAACCACTTGGAGAATCTTAATGGATCTCTTCTGGTTCCAACAAGCCCAAGATCAGGAAAAATGGACATCGGATCACAAAGATACTCTTTATTTCCCAAAATGGGTTGTTCTGGTTCTATACCTGAAGTGTTTTAGGCCTGATTGGTTTGGAAGTTTGCAAACTTATGTTTGGCATCCAGGAGGACTTTCTACAAAGCCCAAAGAGCATAATTGTATTAACCCATCAAGGAATTCGTCCAAAGATATCAAGAGACAAATCAAGTGAAGAAGAAGTTCAAGAGTTAGTCAAGATTCAAAGTAGATCAAGAGTTATTCAACTCTGAAGTTAATGTTTTGACTAGTCTTTTGCCTAGTTACGAAATTGCTTTGTTTTCTACATCTTATTTCCTATATAAACTCATGTAAGATTTCAGGATTATTCATCCTGGATTGGATCACCAAAAATTAATCAAACTCTTTTTATCAAAAACTCTTTCTCTTATCAAAACTGTGAGAAACTTCTCTTTGTCTTTTGAGAGTGATTCGTTGTCTTGTGCAACATCTTTATCATTTCTCATCTATCTCAGAGAGTGACTCGTTGCTTTGTGCAACATCTTTATCCTCTCTTATTTCTCTTTTGTGATCGATTCGTTGCTTAGCAACATCTTTATCGATTTATATCTCAGAACGGAAGTCTATTCAGCACCTTCTATTTCTATTTTATCTCTCTCTCTCAAGCCTCTTTGTGCCGATCTTTGGGAAGATTATATACAATAAAAAAAAAACTGATCTATTGTTACAGATGGTCAAGCCACAAATTAGTTTGCAAGACAGACAACTCAAACTAGACACCAACTGGGAGAATAGCATCTATTTTTCACATAGACAAATTTAGCATTCATTAAAAATCAAAAACAAACCTTCCTCTCCAATCTAAAAATAAATCACGACTCGTCGAACACAATCGTTCTCAGTCTCATTGATGGCAAAAATTTCTCAGCGACTTCCTCATCAACAACACCACCACCGCCGATAAACCAACCACCACAATCTCACCGTTAAAGTCTCACTTCATATCACTTTCCCACTGTAACACTTCCGTCTATTTTCGAGAGGTTTACCAAAAATCTATTGATCTCTAATTGGTGATGGAATCTGTAATCGTTTCCTCCAAAATTGTTGCCAGAGATCGCCTCACTCTATTTCTTCTAATTCCCTCTCTATCAGTCATTCCTTTAAATCGATATTTTTGTCTGGAAGAACTGTTTGAGATTTGATTTGAAGAATAAGCAATTTCAAGTTTTAGTTTTGGAAAAAAATATAGGAGTTTTGAAAACTTTAGTGCTCAAACTATAACTTATTAGCGAATATCTATTTTTATTAGAAACCAAATATTACATCTGCAATTGTGGATTAGAAAACAAAAAGAACGTTTGAGTTCAGGTCTGAATTTTAAATTCGGGAAGGTTTTCCTAATATTCAGGAAATATTTGTAATCGTTTAGGAATGTCTTTCTAAATCATTAGGCCTTTAACTTCAAAAAAACTTTTAAAATGTTGATGTATTTTTTGTTTTAAAGACAAACAAACCACAAGAGTTTGTTTTAAATATGTATCATCGATTTCTTTGACACTTTTTATTATACATGTTACACATATACAAACATGGACAACTTTTTCTCTGAGAAGTTTATTAGGATGATTTTAGGAATCCCTTCCTAAAACATTAAAAACTCTTACTGAATTTTCAATTTAAAAAAATTTCCTAAATTTTAAGAAGAATTCATAATAGTTTAGGAAAGTCTTCCTGAATCTTAAACCTTAATGTCTCTTAAAATTTTAAAAGATTCACGAAAGCCTTCTGAAATATTAGGTATCATTCCTTAAATTTCAAAAATGCTTTTTGAATCATTAAAAACATTTCACTTTCAAGTTTAAATCAATCAGTATGTGTTATTTAAGATGATATAAGCTTCATTTGATCGTGAACAAAAGGTGAGGAGTGAATCTTCTTTCTCTTACTAGCTGAGCTTGTCAAGGTAGCCATACTGGAAGGTGTGCCTGGATCGTCCCGTAAGACTTGCATCCTTGCACCCACAAATTCCGGATCCAGAGCAGCAATCGATCTACACCTTTCTCCATAGCCCTTTGGCGCCTCTTTCGGTTGCTTTCTAACTTTACTTTAATTCTTAAAATGCTTAACTTAAAAACGCTGAACATGATATTTTAAAAAAATTCATGGAATGCATTCCTTATTTATTAATAATTCTTCCTGAAATTTCAAAAACTTTTACTAATTGATCTTTTCAAATTCACAAAGTTGTTGACTTTGTGAACTACAAAGAGAAACAAATTCTGAAAAGAGTATTCCTAAATTTGACCTCTGTCTCTCATAGTGTTTGTCACGAGTCCCTGATGTCTTGTGATGGTGGGATTCTGTTATTCTCTTCACCAGAATCTTCCTCCTAATGTCTGGGTGAAGTTTACCTACGATAATTTCCACTTTTACGATGATGCTTTTTCTTATGCTCCTTTGTGTCTCCATCTTTATACTTTCCTTTTTCTTCTACCTTTAAATTAGAAATTCCCCCAACCGGTCAGTAGCTATAGAAGGTAAGAAACCCAAAAGCATAAAAGAAATCCAATACAATACAATTTTAATTACAAACGCAAACTTACGGGACGAGACCGGCTTGTTCCTGAAGAGTGCGAAACTCAGAACGCTCCCTCTCCTACATGATCTGGAGACAAAGCTCCTCAAGCTTTTTCTGCTCGTCCTCTTGTTTCTACTCAGATTTCCACACGGTCTCGATGTTACAGCTACGCAATGATCGCCAGGGCTAATTTAATCGTTGATGTGAAATCGCTGGAGAATTCTCATAACTGAATTTCGACGGCACCACAATCGTGAAGAAAAAAGAAGATGATGTGATAATTTTCAACTTAATATATTAAACGAATTCTAGTTTAGTCTCCTCCAAAATGAGAGGCTAATGTTGTGAAGTTTTACTTTTTTTGGGGCTATCTTTATCAATTTTTTTTATAATTATGTTTTTATAATCATGATTTTTTTGTCGAAAGACTAAGTACCTAGAACGATTCAGTTATCCAAATCAGTGGTACTGAACTTACATGAAAAACATCTTGTGGCTGAACACGAGCACCCCTTGCTAACACAATCATAGTTATATTGAATACTAAAAAATAAATCTACAAAAAATTATATCTAAACATAAAAATAAAGATTTATCATTTATTAGAAAAATTATATTTATTAAAAAATTTATTTAAAACACAAATTATATTTAAACAGACAAAAACATAAATTATATTAAATTTTAATATATAAAAAATATTCGTGCGAACACGGGTTAGAATCTAGTATTCTTATAAAGTTTACAGATTATAATTAAGGTATAAGATCAAAATTTAGAGTTTATGGAAAGGGTTTAGATTTAGTTTTTTTTTAATTTTTAATTTATTTTATTTGTTAATTTTAATTTTTAACTTTTTAGTTGTGCTGTAACATATTTTCATTGGTTAACAACAATAAGGGGCGAATGAATAAAGGAACCAAAAAATTGTTTGTTCGAAATAACTTAAAGCTAAGCGTTTAAAGATGTTCTCCATATATGAGAAGATTGGTGGAAAGGTTCTTTACGAAAAGGAGAAAGGTGGTGAAGTCAATTTCTCCCAAAAGGAAGAAGGTGTCAAAGATCTCTCTACGATAGAAGAAATTTGTAAACTCACCAGACCCATAACGGGAAAGACCAAAGTAGTCCCGGTCTTTGAACCAGTAGATATAGCAACAAGCTTTACGTCCAACGGGAACTCATTAAAAAGAAGGCCAATAAACTGAAGTTTGAGAACTGGAGCATCTCATGTGCGTGGTTAACGCCGGTCGTTCGAGAATTTGTGACGACAAGCGGAAGGACGACGGAAGTTGTGACAAAACAGTTTCAATAAGTGGATCAAAAATTGTAACGAGTTGCGTGCGAGTGAATCTCACGCGCCCATAACTTCTCTCTCACCTCTCTCCTCGTTTTCTCCAAAAGTCTTTCTTCTCTCGGTGGTTTCCTCTGGCGATGCCGGCGTCGTGAGGGAGCCACCACCTTTTGTGAATCGATGGTGCTTCATCAGTGGTAAGTGGACTGCTCCGGTGACTTCTGGAAGAGATTAAAGCTCCAGCGCTGCGGTGAGGCTTGTTTGCTTCTGTGGTGCAGCGGAAAGGTTTTCAGATCTGGCCTCGAGGACATGGCTTGGTGACGGATCCTTTCTCGGTGTGCGTTCGGCGGTGTTTGGCGTTGAAGCTTCTGCGTGGTGGTTCTGGTGCCTTTAGTCGGTGTAAGCGAAGTGTGGAGTTTTCTCGGTGAGTCTCCCTCCAATGGCTTTCCCCCCCTCACCTCTCTTCCGCTCTTGGCTTTGGTTAGCTGTGCGGTGCGCTTGCCTCTCGGAGTGATAGCGATGGTGGTTGTCTTTGGCTCTGCCTCGCTTTTGGCGGTGGTCCTGTGCCGCTCGAGTTTTATCGGAGGGAAAATCATTCTAGCAGAGTCTTCTTTTTCTGCGCTTCGTCGGTGGTCTTGTTCCGGTGCTGGTTTGGCTTGTGGTTTATCTGGGGGCGGTTGTGGTAATTTTACCTAGTGGTAGCTGTGTGGTTGACGTCTTGAGGGGTGGTGGGTTGGTCTGGTTTTGACGGGTGGTGGGTTGGTCTGGTTTTGACGGGTGGTGGGTTGGTCTGGTTTTGACGGGTGGTGGGTTGGTCTGGTTTTGACGGGTGGTGGGTTGGTCTGGTTTTGAACGGTGGTGGAAGCGTGTTCGGCGGCGGACTCTCTTTTGTGGCAGCTAGGGTTTCTTCCCCGATCTGGTTTCCGGTTTCCTTCTCCGGTTTTTGTTCGGTTTATTTCAATTTCAGATGTTATTGGTTTAGTTCTTTTTACAAACCTATTTAGGTTTTGGATCGGTTCAATTATCCGTTAATATTATTGTAAAAAAAAAAATCAAAAAATTTATTTAATGCAAAAAAAGGTTCAAAAAAAAAAACGGTTTCAATAAGTGTTTTTGAGAATAATTTTCTCATAATTCAAATAGTTTTGGTTCCGCTTTATTTTTATTTTTATTTTTTGCCTTCTTCCAAGAACATAAGTTTTACGTTCCCTCATCCTTTAATTGTATAATACAAAAGTCAAACAACCACAATCAATTTATAAATTCAGGACTCAAATTATATGAAATTATTACAAACCCACCCCGGAAACGTAAACATATCTCGTTTGGCACATTTTCCTTGAAAAGTAATTAACCATCAGTAATATAATGTGATACAGAAACCAGGAAGGCCTCACATTTTCCGAAGGTTGTCCAATCTTGCCTGGAGGTCACTATCTATCCCCCCGCCGTCCTCAGCTCCGGCCGCCTCAGCTTGCACCACCTTGTTCTTCGTCGCTGGTGCTGCGACCGTATTAGATGGAGCATTCACCAGCTGAAACACCAATAAACCAGTCCAATCAAGTTAAGCATCTTATACGTGGAAATGGAATTAAGGATAGTCAATATAGGTTTCACTTTGGTTTATCTAGATTGTTTTACAGACAAATAGTAACTGATGTAAAACAAAATATAACGAGGACGAGGTAACAAGTATAGCATCTTAGTCTGAACTTGAACTTAATCAGTCTCTAGAACGGGTTTTAGATGAGTCCAGTTTATGTAGATTGAACATCCGTATGTTGAATTAGTGAGAATGGTAGCGCTAGGATTAATGTGTTACCTCTTGGTTGATATCGATTCCGATCTCGTCAAGGACTTGGCTAACAAGATCTTCAGTTTCTTCCTCTTCCTCATCTCCTTCCAAAGCATCATCAATAGCATCTCCCATCACCTCAGAGACCATCTCCATTTTTTCGTTTTGCCTCTCAAATTCTTGCATGATTTTCTGCAGAGATGGCAGGTTCATCTGCCTGTTCATTTGCCCCATTGCTTTAGTCACACCTTTCATTGCCTCACCCATTGCTTGTGTTGATTTCAGAGTCTGAAAAGTATAGAAAGTTTTAGTTTTTTGCCTTGAAGGAAATCGATACAACTATACGCTCTAGAAACTTTTGCTATGATTTGAAATCAAACTTTGACAATAACCAACCAAAGAAATAAAACATACCTGGATCCTGAGAGATACACCTTGGAGTTGGGATTTAAGCTTGTAAAACTTCTCAATCTGGTGCCGCGTTCTGATAAGGTCCTTTGCCATCACTTTCACAGCTCCCTGAGAGAAAATACCAAACCAATTCTAGTCAATATGCTATGCCTAAAGCATCAGCTAAACAAACACTGCAGAGTTTCATGTATTCTTTCTAAACATACATCATTGTAAATCTATTTGTTTTTGCCGATTGGTTCTTGCCAAGGATTTTCTAAACTAATCAGCTCAGGACTCCTACTTTAGCATCACTGCAACCATTTGGTGACACAGACAAGCCTGATGCCTAAAGTTGTGAAATTTGTTATCTAATCATACAACCTCAGCATATCCTGTGTTAAGTTTTAAATTCCAGATGGTAATGAAAGAAACAAGATTGTCAGCATAGCAAAACAGAAACAAACCATCTGGCCTTGCTTTGCGGTTTTTTTAATCTCAGCAATAAGTTTCTTCTCTTGTGATTGAAGGCCTTGCCTCTCTCTCTCTATGTCTCTGATCGACTTATCAAGCATCCTTTTGTTTTCCCGCAGAAGTTCTGAAACGAAACAAAGTAAGAAACCTCATTAAACCTTAAACCAGCATGTGCATGATTTAAACTCAGCATGAACATTCTTTAAGCTACAAAACAGTGCACATGGAAAGAACTACATAATCTCAGAACAGCAAAGCATTCAATCGAATGATATGTCACTTCAACAACAAATCGATTCTCGTTAATTTAAAACCAAATTACCCATTGACCCAATTCAAAAGATTGAAGATCCTAATGGTCTCGATGTCAAATAAATCCTAAAACTACAGATCAAACAGTTGCGATTCATCGAATTGGCGAAAGCGTTTATTGATGCAATCTCTTGTCAGTAAATGAAATTCAAGAAACAAATCGAGTGCCCAAGGACACAAAATTTTCACAGAAGTAAATCAGACCAATAAAGCGATGGAAAGATAAAGAACCTGCAGGAGTTTTACGCTTTCCGAAGATGGAATTCATCATGATTCAAAGAACAAAACTCAAAACTTTGCAGAAGATTTGACGAAATTAAATCCGATTCGAAATAGCAAAACTTTTCGATCGGAGTGTAAAAATTCACAACTTGAAGAATAGGAGCGACGAAGCTTCGGTCAGGTCACGCGGAAAGGCATTCTTTTTTTCTTTCTTCGTCTTCTAAGTATAGCTACTACAATCTTCTTCAAAATTTACTTTTGATACATTTTATATTTTGGAACAATGCCCTTAAAGATCTAATATTTTTAATTATCTCCTAAGAAAACACTATCTTATTAAAGCACCCTAAAAAATCATGACTCTTTATTAAAGCACCCTAAAAATCATGATTTATTTTTGGTTGAAATGTTAAGACTTATACCATTTTCTGAATTTTTTTAGAGGTAGAAATTATTACCTATTACAATAAAATAACCAAACCTAAATTACACCTAATAAATTATATGACAATAAATAAAAAGAAATAGAAAAAAGTAGCATAATACAATTCAAGAAGAGATAGAGTTTGAATCCTTTACGGGAAATGATAATAGATGGTTTCTTAAGACGCGGTCCAAGTATGATTTGATGGTTTGTATATGTCTCAAAGCAGACACAGGTTGTTAAATTGTATCATGGACTTAAAAACTCCGTTTGTTAAAGCATTGCCACCAATAGAGAGGCTGTAGAGAAATCTATGGAAGACAAAAACTGCTCCCATAATTTGTTACCTTATATGGAAGGCCTTGGTCGGAGCACTAGCAATAATAGAGAAGTTACTATCAATTATATAGGCCTGATTCAATTGTATAGTTGTTGATACCGGTTAACTTATGTTGGTTTAGTCTTTTGTTAGCTTTGGTTCAGTATATAATACATACATGTACATTGTAGACAGATTAGGAAAACTTGTAAATAACAGAATACATTTTTCCATCGTTATCATGAACTCTTCTTCTTTAATATAGGTTTCAGAGCAATCTCATCTCTCTGATTTCGAGCGTTTTTCTTTGATTTCTCTTTATTTTCACCATTTATTAGTCGCATTGATCTCGGACCTCTGAATTTTTCGACATCGGAAGCTCCCAAATCTGTTGTGTGAGCTTCGTCTTTGGTTTGATTCATCAATAGAGCTTCGGTCGACTATAATGGCGAAACAAGGAAGGAAACTACGCAATCGTTCACCTACCCAGACTGTTTCTGAGGTGAATGGATCTAGGATGAAGAATAAAGCTGAATCCCCTTCTTTCGATGATCCGGAACTCCTCGCACCTTCAATCCCTCTCGGATCTGCTAATCGCGCTACTTCTGGTATGATTTCTGCTAGAATGGAATCTCTGGATAATGTACACAGTCCATATTTCCTACATTCTGCTGATCATCCAGGTCTCTCTATTGTCTCTCATATACTCGATGGTTCAAACTACAACAACTGGTATATTGCGATGAGAATCAGTCTAGATGCGAAAATAAACTTGCATTTGTGGATGGATCTCTGATAGTTTGTTCAAAATCTGGATTTGTTGCAATAGTATGGTTAATGCTTGGGTGATGAATGTAGTGAACAGGGAAATTTATGAGAGTATTCTTTATTACGAAGACGCGGCTGAGATGTGGAATGATTTGTTCTTGCGATTTCGCATGAGTAATCTCCCTAGGAAGTATCAACTTGAACAAGCCATTTACATTCTTAAGCAAGGATCTCTTGATCTGTCTACTTACTACACAAAGAAAAAAACTCTTTGGGAGCAACTTGCAAATACTAAGTCTCATTCTGCGAAGAAATGCAATTGTGATACTGTCAAGGAATTGTTGGACGATGCAGAAACCAGCAAAAGCATCCAGTTTTTGATGGGATTAAATGATAATTTTGCTAACATCAGAGGTCAGATACTGAATAATAGGCCTTGTCCTGGCATGCCTGAGATCTATAACATATTAGATTAGGATGAAAGTCAAAGTGTGGTTGGTCAGGTTAACAGAGTTGTTCCAGCACCAGTTGCTTTTCAAATGCAAGACTCGACTACAACTGATCCTTCTCAGATCCTCTTGGCTCATGGTAACTTCAAGAAACCAAAGTGTTCACACTGTAACAAAAATGGACACACTGTTGATCGCTGCTACAAGTTGCACGGGTTTCCTCCTGGTCATCCAAAGACCAAACCTCAAACACAGTTGGTTCTAGAAATGTTGCATCTTTGGGCAGTCTTCCGCAGTTCTCTCAAGAGTCACAGATGGATCATTCTAAGGATAGTTTCGAGAATATGACCAATGACCAGATACAAACGATGATCTCCTATCTCAGTGTCAAGCTCCATCCTCCTGGTGTTAAAACTCCATCTGCTAGCACTTGTGCTTCAACTTCAACCTCTGCACCTGTTATCTCCTCGGTAACAGGTACATTTCTGGATCTCTACAATAATAAATACTATGACATGCTAATTTCCTCTATATCTACAGCACCAAAAGTGTTTCTTAGAGATTGAGTAATAGATTCAGAGGCTACTCATCATGTTACACATTGTAGAGATTTATTCATCACCGTTAAACCCTTAGCTAATACCTTCGTCACTCTCCCTAATGGATATACAGTTGAGATAGTGGGCATAGGATTCATTCAATTGACTGATGCTATTTCTCTACATAATGTGCTGTATATTCCTGAATTTATATTCAATTTTCTGAGTGTCAGTGTTTTAACTCGAACTATAAATTCTAAAGTTAGTTTCACTGCTGATGCGTGTTTCATTCAGACAATTACACAGGAATTGATGATTGGTCAAGGTAGTCAAGTGGGAAACCTCTATATTCTGAATTTCGATTCTGCAAATAATGAGATAACTTTATCAGATGTTTCAAGTATTTCTACTTCTTATACTAGCTTGCTTGTTGATTCTAAGACTTGGCATATGAGATTGGGTCATCCCTCTCAGTCCAAGATAGATGTACTTTCTGATGTACTGAACTTGAAAAGGAATAAAGATAATGAAAAGACTTCTAGTTGTTGTCATGTTTGTCACATTTCTAAGCAGAAACATCTCCCTTTTAAGTCGAAATAATATGTGTTCTCATGCGTTTGAGTTACTTCATATTGATACTTAGGGTCCTTTTTGTGTGCCAACTACTGATGGTTATAAATACTTTCTCACGATAGTAGATGACTATAGTAGAGCTACTTGGGTGTATCTTCTTCATGCTAAATCTGATGTCTTGTCTATATTTCCTGCATTCATTCAAATGGTTGTAACTCAATATGCCAAAAAAGTTAAATCGGTTAGATCAGATAATGCACATGAACTTAAATTCACTGACCTGCATACATCTAAAGGCACTGTTGCATATCATTCATGCCTGAAACTCCTGAACAAAATTCTGTGGTAGAGAGAAAGCATCAGCATCTTTTAAATGTTGCTAGAGCCCTCTTGTTTCAATCTCAGGTACCTTTAGAATTTTTTAGGGGGGGGGGGGCATTGTATTCTTACGGCAGTGTTTCTCAGTAATAGAATTCCATCTTTAGTTCTCGGTAACAAATCTCCATATGAGAAGCTTAATAATAAGATTCCTGAATATCATAATCTGAAAAGCTTATTTAGTTGTCTTTGTTATAGTTCAACCTCTCCTAAAGGTAGAAACAAGTTTGAACCTAGAGCTAGAGCCTGTGTTTTCTTAGGATATCCTAATGGTTACAAGGGATATAAGCTACTAGATATAGAGACACATTCTGTTTCTGTTTCACGGCATGCTATCTTTCATGACGATATTTTTCCTTTTGTATCGTCTACCATTACCGCTGATGCAAAAGACTTCTTTCCTCTATTACAGTCTCCTGCTTCTATAGATGTTCATTTGCCTCCTGTGCAAACATCTTCCGAGGCACATTATCACTTTGATGTGTCCTCTTCTGAGACTTTTATTCCTTCTGAGTCTATGTCTCGCAGACAAACACATTTACCCAAATAGTTGCATGACTTTCATTGCTATAACAATACTCTTACTAAAGTAACAACCCCTTATCCTATCACAAACTATATATCTTATTCCAATTTATCTGAGCCTTTTTGTGACTTTCTTAATACACTCACAAACACTCCTACTCCGGAGAAATATTTAGAGGCCAAGAACTTTCAGGTATGGTGTGATGCTATGTGTGTGGAGATGAGTGCTATGGAAAAGACTCATACTTGGTTAGTTTGTGAGCTACCTCCAGACAAGGTTGCTATTGGATGTAAGTGGGTGTATACGGTGAAGTATAATGCTGATGGTAGCATTGAAAGATATATATATATATATAAGGCCCGTTTGGTTGCAAAGGGTTTCACACAACAGGAAGGTATATATTTTCTTGATACATTTTCACCTGTTGCCAAGCTTGCCACGGTGAAGTTTTTGTTGGCTCTTGCTCCGAATTTGAAATGGTCACTTCATCAACTTGATGTTTCCAATGCTTTCTTGAATGGTGATGTGGACGAGGAAATATACATGAAGCTTCCACCTGGATACGCTGAGCTTAAAGGGGAAGTAGTTACACCAAATTCAGTGTGTCGCCTTTGGAAGTCTATATATGGTTTGAAGCAAGCCTCTAGACTGTGGTTCCTCAAATTCTCTTCTACTTTGACTAACTTGGGTTTTGAAAAATGTTACAGTGATCACACATTATTCATCAAACAATGGGATGGTAAATTCCTTGCAATCCTTGTTTATGTTGATGATATAATGATAGCGAGTACTGATGATGAAGTTGTGGTCGTATTGAAACATCAGTTAGAGTCTCAGTTAAAGTTGAGAGATCTTGGTCCTCCTAAGTTCTTTCTTAGTCTTGAGATTGCTAGATCTCATGAAGGCATCTCTATTAGTCAAAGAAAGTATTGCTTGGATCTTTTGGGTTCTATAGGGTTTTCTGGTTGCAAACTGTCTGCCATTCCAATGGAACCTAATCAGAAGCTTTGTAAAGATGAAGGTGTGGCCATTGATAATCCCAAAAAGTATTGCAAACTTGTTGGTAAGCTCCAGTATTTGACGATTACGCAACCAGACATATGTTTTGCTGTTTCCAAGTTGGCGCAGTACTCATCAGACCCTCGAGTTCCTCACCTACAGGCTGTTCACAAGGTACTTAGATATCTCAAGGGAACAGTGGGACAAGGGCTTTTCTATTCTGCAGATGCAAAACTGGATCTTCGAGGTTATTGTGATTCTGACTGGGAAGGATGTTTGGATACACGAAGATCTGTTACTGGATATGCTATGTTTCTTGGTGATTCATTGATTACTTGGAAATTTAAGAAGCAATCAGTTGTCTCTATGAGCACAGCAGAGGCTGAGTACAGAGTAATGGCTATGGCTGCTAAGGAGATGGTATGGTTATCTTACTTGCTTCAAGATTTTCGAGTCTCATTTACTCCTCATGCTTGCCTTTACACAGATAACACCTCGGCTCTGGGTATTACAAGCAACCCTGTGTTTCATGAACGCACGAAACACATAGAATTTGGCTGTCACAAGGTTCGGGAATACATTGACTCTGGATTCCTGAAGACCATGTACGTAAAGACTGATCAGCAACTTGCAGATGTGCTGACTAAACCTGTGTTCCCTGCTAAATTTCGCGAGAACATTAGCAAGATGGGGCTTCTCAACATATTTCCAGCTCCATCTTGAGGGGGAATATCAATTATATAGGCCCAGTTCAATTGTATAGTTGTTGATACCGGTTAACTTATGTTGGTTTAGTCTTTTGTTAGCTTTGGTTCAGTATATAATACATACATGTATATTGTAGACAGATTAGGAAAACTGGGAATAACAAAATACATTTTTCCATCGTTATCATGAACTCCTCTTCTCTAATAGTTACAAACCAGAGGCATCCAAATTGATTCATCTTGTTCTGCTTGTGGCTTAGCCTCAAAGAGCATTTTTCATTTTTAATATTCATGTCTGATTGCTCAAGAAGTTTGGTCCATCTCTCAGTTTTCAGCTCCATCATCCAGTTTGTCGAGGAACTCTATGATGTTGAATCTGCATAATCTCCTTAGTTGCAGTAAAAAAAATCTATAGTGTGAGATTATCTTTTCCATGGACTCTCTGGCAAATATGGAAGGAACATAATGTTCTAGTTTCAGTGAGAATTTGTTACAAACCTGCCTCGATTAGCAGTATAGCAAGGAAGTATGGTGGTATTTGGTTGAAATTTTATCAGGTGGTTGGAGCATACCACCTATGGACAATCTCAAATGTAACATCGGCTAGTCATAGATTTCTCCATCTGAAAATTGTGGCGTCTCATGGCTAGTGCAAAATTTCAGTGAAAAAGATCTGTTTCATAGCTGTTGTTCTTTCTCTTCGATTGAGTCGAAGCCTAAAACATAGTTACTAGCTATAATTAGGCAGTGAACTGTCTTAAAAATAAGGAGAAAATAATTTTCAAAGTTTGAACTGTAACTTTTAAAATAACATTAAACACGATTGGTTGGATTTTAGTGGTGTAGAAACATTTTTAGCTGTGGAGAGACCTTACAGCCACCACCAACCATCCCCATTACATTTCTCTCCCACTTAGCTTCTAACCAAACTTCAGAGTATCCTTCTCCTAAATACTCTGTTTGATTTTTCATTCTTGAGTAGATTCATTGACAACTTCATTAAGGTTATAAGTTCACTGATTTTGGGATATTTTTTGAAAATTTTAGTTATGTTGTTCTAAATCAACTTGTTGATTCAACAACAGCTTCAATATCTGGCCTATAAGTTCACTGATTCGACAACTTCAACGATTCTGATTTTTTTCTTTTATGTATGTCCGACAAGGATATGAGAAACAAACCACTGAAGGTTAGTTTTATTGATTCAAAATTTATGATAGATCATTACCAAGTTACATTTGAAAGATGTGTATGTCGCTAAGTAAGTAAATATTTGATCAGATGCAAGCATAATCATATAGAGAT